TATAAAATAAAAATTCCAATGGCTTTGGCTACTATAACCTTCCCGACCACGATTTTTTCTAGGCATTTCACCTAGAAATAATCAATTGTATTCTCCTAGGTATCAAAAATATAGTAAATAAATAAAGTAGTAAATATAAATGGATAAAGAAATAGTGGGTTCCATCGTTTCTATGGTTACTTCTTAAACGGTGAGGCCTTCTCTATACACCGGAGCCCCTTACTTGATTTAATCAATGTTATTGGTAACTTGTACAGTTCACACTCTTTGGCTCTACCCATGAATTATCCAGTACTAGGTCTTTCACAATGAGATCTACCTATACAGTAACGGTATTTAATTATAAAAGTTAGCGGGGTAGCTGACCCTGTGAGTCCGTTCTTGCAAGAGTGGGAACCTAATCTTTCTGTTTTTTAAATTTTAAATAGGATTTTCCCCGCTTAATGAATAACCATTTGTTACCAATGGGGAATTGCTTTTCATTTAAAATAGAGGTGATTGGATTTGCACCAACGGAAACCATAAATTTCATACACAATAGAGGGATACGATAGATTTTTTTATTTTTAGATAGCGAATGGAGTTCTTCCAGTCTATCCTATTCATCGGTACTGATCGTTGTTACTGGAAAATTTGTTTTCTTTCCTTTGTCCCAGCCCATGATCTGAACGAGTCGCACATACACCCTAGTACATGTTCCTCGACGCTGAGGGCATCCCCGAAGAGCGGGGGATTTTGTGACATTTCTGATTGGCTGTCTTGTATTTCTAATAAGTTGTTTAATGGTTGGCATGTTGAATCATATACATAATGGGCTGGTTTAGATCGATCCTAACCGGATGATTATGAATTACTTCTTTTGAATAGAATATTAAACCCTAAACCCGGCAAGAAAATAAAATCTTAAATCGCGGATTTGTGTGAAATCCGTGCTATTTTCATTCAACCGCTACAAGATCAACGATTCCATAAGCTTGGGCTTCTGTTGCTGACATAAAAACATCCCTCTCCATGTCTTCAGATACAACCCATAAGGGTTTGCCCGTTCTTTGTACATAAACCCTTGTGAGGGTTTCGCGCAGTTTCAGCAGTTCTTCCGCTTCCAGGATAAATTCTCCCGTTTGTGCCTCATAATAAGCACTCGCAGGTTGATGGATCATTACCCTGATGATATAACATAATAAAAGGTTCTTCTATCTCGCAGAGAAAAGAAAGAAAGATAAAGAATAACAAGAAAAAAAAAAGATAGAATTGAACAACCGTACGGGCATCTTTTGCGCATTGCATACGGCTTTACAATATAGAATTGACCCTTACCCTCCATCGAAAAAAGATAAAAAAATCGGATCTATCAGATCTAGATCGGTAAATGATCAAATTACCACCCTTTTTTTCGGAGAAGTTAAAAAATACTATGATGGTTCCGTTGCTTTATATATTTATTATTATTATTTTGTCTTTGATTTGTCTGTGATTTGTCTGTGATTCAGCAATCCCAAAGTTTCTTTTTGATCTGATCAAATAAAATAAGGAAAAAAGACTCTTCTTTTTTTGATTTTCGCACTCTTTCATAACATAAGTATTGTTAAGAGCCTTCCGGTGTGAAAACAAAAAAGTTTGTGACGCTGAACTGGACTCCCGATAGATAAGATAAAATCAGAAATACTCTTTATCTCATACTACTCTCTCGATACATAATCTAATGTTTTGAAAAAATAATAGAAAAATTTTCTCATATCGAATTCGAAGTGCCATGCTATTATTACTTAATATTCATATTTCATATGGCGAAGGCATAGTCTTCTTCTTTTTTCTCTCAAATAAAAACAAACCTCATTGGCGCCAAGCGTGAGGGAATGCTAGACGTTTGGTAATTTCTCCCCCGACCAGGATAAAAGATCCCATTGAAGCAGCCATTCCCATGCATATTGTATGTACATCTGGTTGCACAAATTGCATAGTATCAAAAATAGCTATTCCGGGTATTACCCATCCGCCAGGAGAGTTTATAAACAAATACAGATCTTTGGTATCATCCTCGATACTGAGATATACCATAAGACCAATAAGTTGATTCGAGATCTCGCTATCAACCTCTTGGCCTAAAAAAAGTAATCTTTCTCGATAAAGTCGGTTGAGTAGGGCAAAATTGTATCCCTTAGGAACCGTACATGCACCTTTTGACGCATACGGTTCAAAAAAATTGCGAAAAAAACGAATCAATGTGTAGATTCCGGTCCTTTTTCTTTTTTCATAGCGGGTTCTTTTTCACTTCTCCCGAAAGGGCTTCTTTTTCTTTTATTTTTCGATAAAGATGGGTTTTTGTTCCTTTCCTTATAATATAAAAAAGAATTCACTAAACTTATCGAATTAACTTCTCATTGATGTATTATTTCATCGAAATCCAATCCAAATCACGATGTCATTTTCTTGTTCCTGAATGGGCCTCTTCAATCTTTTTAGGTTTATGATCTACTCCGGGTAAAGATCCGCCCGATTT